AAGGGTAATCTTGTTTCTGATTTGACAGTAAAGAAAATGTTGGCAAAATGGATAGGAAATTACCAGTGTATGGATAATATGATTTAACGTATTACACTAAAGCATGTCAAGTATCAGACAACTTGCTGTGCAACCTTTAAAGAAAAACTGTTTATCGATCAATATGCCTGGTCAAGAATTAAACATAATGCAGACCTCATTTTTATCATTTCTATGCCATGTAGATATTTTGTGATAGGATAAGGAAAACATTGGTATCTACTTAAAATTTGTGAGTTTGTAAAGAGTATGAAAATGACAATCAAATGAACAGATCAATCAGTGCATATAGGCTTAGAACCAAGTATATATAATCACATGTGGTTTTCATCCTACAAATAAGAAATTTAGAATGGTAGAAAAGAAGGGAAGGAGGGAGGGTCGGGGAGAGAGAAAGGGAAACGAAGGGCAACAGGGAAGAGAAGTGAAGGAAAAGAAGGAAAGGAAACAAGAAGAGAAACCAAAAAGGACAAAAAGAGAAACATATGAGAAAGTGAGGAGGAAAGGCAAAGGAATGAAGAGCCAGAAAGAAGGAAAGAAGGAAGGAAAGAAGGAAGGAAGGAAGGAAGGAAGGAAGGAAGGAAGGAAGGAAGGAAGGAAAGGAGGGAAGGAGGGAGGGATGAATCAACTCAATTTCCTAAGCCCAGCAAGTTAGCTCTGAAATACTTGGTAGGATTTGTGTTAATTGTTTATAATAATCACTGTTTATTTTCCTAAGGAACTTTTAATCTATTTATTGGGAGGGAATAAATGAAATTATAATTTTATGTAAAATTCTTTTATCAAAATTTAACATTTAGGGACATTTGGAGACAATAATTCCTTTACTGAGAAAATTCTAATAGGTGAATTTGTAGTTATTTATGCCCCTGCATGTACTATTACTATGTATTTCTTGAGACTGCCTCTGTGCCTCCTCAGTGCTCATTTTGAGCCCCAGGTCTTAGGCATCTGATACATTAAGGGGCTTCACTACATAATAGTCCTGTTTTGTTTGCTTCTTTTTTTCACTCTTTCTTTCCTTCTTTCTCTTCTTTCCTTCCTTTTGTAAGCTACAGCCTTTTCTATCTGGTAAATGAGATCTTTTGGCAAATTGTAAAGCACATACACACACACACATTTTTAAAAAACATAACAGTTTCTTTCTGTTAGTATGACTGTATTTTTAAATAACTGAAGAAAATCCCATTGTGAGCAAGAATATAAGAGATCCAAAAACCAGATATTACAAAGTGAAAATTGAAAGCCTAAATTCACCTCTAAGAAATATTTGGCATATCCTGCATGATTTTAAAAAAATGATTTATTTGCCAACATTTTAATGTAGAGAATTTTAGACAGAATGTTTCATGGGTTCTCACAAAAAAATAAAATATCTGCCAACCCTGTGTTGAAATTCTCATAAAGTTTTACTAAAACAGGAGCTGAAAGTTATCACTGGGGATGTTGCAATTTTTCAGATATTTTTGTCTAAAGTGCTTCTTCACTCATTTATGGGTATCTGTCTCCTTAAGCATTTGAAGATTGACTTTTAGGTACAATAGTATACATTATAATACACATCTTTACAATTTGCTCCGTAGTTTTTTAATCAATCTTAAAGTCATCTTGTAAATTTACATGACTTGTAAAAATACACCTCTTCCCTGGAGACAGCCTTGCGATATACGACTGCGGCTTCTCTTGCTGCCACTCAGTGTTCTCATGGTTCCTGGCTTGCCAGTATATGGATTGAGGCTGGGTTGGTGTTTGGGCAAAACTTAAGCTCTATCTATCTGACTAATGGCTGTTCACTTCATTAAAGCTAAGTGCATGGCTGTTCATGTCAAAGGGAGGATGCAAGATACTTTTGTTCCTTGATCTCAATGTGTCCTTGAGATTTTTCAAATAGGTGAAACTTCAGCCCATGTTTGACTTCAGCTAGTACCTATATAGAAATTCTGCCCAAGGAGCATCAAATGATGTACCAAAAGAATTAATGATTTATTGTCGAAGTGTTTCTTTAAAAAATAATTAAACTAAATCAGAGATGGAATGATAAGTAAAACATAATAAGGATTTGTCATCAATTATGTTCCTTATATTATCTTGTTAAAGACCTCAAAATGAGGTGTATTCTTTGTAGTGTTGATTTAACCCAAATTCTATTTGCACATTACTATATTTATATTGGAAAACAAGTATGGGGAGATTTGCTAGCAATAGGAAATTTTTATGTAACAGCAAGTTCTAGGAATAGGAAGCATAGCCAAGCAAGAAATAAAAGTGTATCTATCATTTGTGGAAAAGTGGGTTGCTTTTGTTTGTCTGTGCCTTATTTTGAGAAAGTAGGGGAGAATATTGTGTTTGAAGATATTAGAATAAACATCCTAATGCAGTTTAATGGGTATGGTGGGTTGGTAATAAAATAGTATTCTTTCAGTATTGTTCAGGATGAGAAAGAAGCTGACTCAAAATATTACTTAGCTAAATCAAGACTTTTTCATATTTGAAAGTCTACTTTTCAAGTCACTGTCACCCCAAATTTTGCTTACAATTGCACTTCCAGAAAAGAAACCATTTTGAAATAAAGTTTCTAATGTTTTTTTTTTTTAAATGTATTTTTGGGAGAGAAGGGGGGAGGGGCAGAGAGAGGGGAAGACACAGAATCTAAAGCAGGCTCCAGGGTTTGAGCTGTCAGCACAGAGCCCTATGCAGGGTCTCAACTGCACAAAACATACGATCATGACCTGAGCCAAACTCTGATGCTCAATCGACTGAGCCACCCAGGGGCCCCAAATCACATTTTATATTAGTCACATGTGGCCATTTTCACAAGTTCTATCAGCACAAAATTTTCTTCAAATGCTCTATTTCTAATTAAAAGACATATTTGATAGACTGCAATTCGGCTTAAAGGAGATTCCCCCCCCCAATCGAATATTTATTTTGGAGAGAATATACATGGTTAATCAGAATGGCAATTCAGAGTAGGAATGACCTTGAAGCTGGTGCTAGGTTAGATGCAGTGAATTAATGAAAACTAGATAGCCAAACAGATGGCCTGAATTTATGGTTTTTAAATACATGTCGGAGAGACTGAAAGCACTAGTTGTTACTCTTATGTAAGGAATGCCTCCGTCAGATATTATGCTCCCTATAATATGAAATATTTGCTGAGAGCCTATTATGTGAGAAAATATTGAGAATTAAGGTAGATGATATATGACAGAAATAGGCAGATATACATAATAGGTAGATATACATAAATAGGTAAATATAGTCTATTCCAAAGAGTTTATAATCTACATAGGAAAATAAGTCACATCCTGAAGGGTAAATAATAATAATATTAATACTACTATAATAATAATAATAATGATAATAAAGTGACCTAGGCTGAGTGTCCAGTTAGTGATCAAGGTAGAAAGGGGCATCCATTGAGACCTGACGTGGCTCAAGGGACTGATTTTAAACTAAACATGTTCATCAGAGTAGCATTTGGAAGAGAGCACAGCAAAGAAGCTGAGAAGCAGAAATTCTTTTATTATGAGGAATTAATTGTACAGTGAAAATAAAATATTTGAGTTATAAATATAGAAATGCATAATGTCCCTTTTTTAGAAAAGCTGGAAAAATGTTGTATAGAAGCATTATAGTTACACATTTCTTCTGAGTAAGATTAGGATTATGTTAACCAGCTCACCAGCTGGATTTGGTAAATCTTCACTCCTCCAACTTTTTCAACAGACTTCTTACTTCCTAGGATTTCCCATTTCTTTCTGTTTTTAGCCTGACTATTCTTGCTAATTAATAGAGAGTGAGGTTAAAAATGGTCTTGTTATATTAAATAAGTAAAAACAAGATCTATAATGGTATCCCTTCTGAGGCAGAAAACTTTCCTGATGAGGTGTTTAATCACTCTTAGCAAAAATAAAATTTCAGCATAGGTCCCTATAGGTATATTTAAGTAAGAAAAAAAAGTATTACAGGCAATATTAAATACAAACTAAAGTTAGTATTTTTATGTAAGCAGAAAACTTATGAATGAGTAGATGCAGAAAAATGCAATGGGCAGTATGGCATTTGAGGATAGAAAATGAAACTTTAGATACAGGCTATTTCCGGGTGGGAAAAAAAAGTAACACGAATCCTTTGGGATGGGTGTTGAAAGATGCATGCAGTTCAACATTACTCTATGCTTCTGGACAACTAACTAGAATAGTTATAACTGATATGATGGCTAATACAGATGGCCCCCGTGACCCCCATTAACATAAATAACTAAATTTCATTTATATTGTTGCCACCACTGGAAAGAACATTTCCCCCCAAAGCACAAAGTAATACATAAACCACTACAAAAATCTTACAGTGCTTTGCCATGATGATTTTTGAATCATCCTTGTCTGTACAAGCCTATTATTTCTCTTATTCATATAAAATAAAAATTTAGAAATGATTGCCTATTATGTGAAGTATTAGCTACCCCTGAATACAGCTTGTTAATCGTAATTGCCTTAAATTATTGCACTTAATCATGGGAGACATAATTTTCCCCCACAACTTGCCTAAAAATAGAGATTACTGGCTTATGAATGCTCTTTTTCAATGTGGAATGATTCTTAAATATTAGCTAAATATCCTGGCACTCTGTAATTTCTTTTTTAGGTTTCTACCTCTGTTTTAATATTTTCCAGTGCTCTGAATTGTCTGCCTTTTAAAAGGAGACATTTTCTTCCTTAAAAACAAATCTCACTTTATCGTTCAAAATCAGAAAGGGACTACCTTATCTTGTTACTCACTTATCTTCTTAAATGTCTGTTTTTGTCATTTTCCAGTTTTTTTTTTTTCTGTTGAGCATAAATATTAGATTACTGTGGAGAGTTTGGAAAAAGTTCCGTCCTCCTCTTATGATGTTAACCTTTAATTATAAAACTCCGGGTTCCTTGAAATAGTTAACATGTCTTCTCTCTTCTTAGGTTCTCCGTACAGAGACAAAATCACCATAGCAATTCTTCAGCTGCAAGAGGAAGGCAAGCTGCACATGATGAAGGAGAAGTGGTGGAGGGGCAATGGCTGTCCAGAGGAAGAGAGCAAGGAGGCCAGTGCCCTGGGGGTTCAGAATATTGGTGGCATCTTCATTGTTCTGGCAGCCGGCCTGGTGCTTTCCGTTTTTGTGGCAGTGGGAGAGTTTTTATACAAATCCAAAAAAAACGCTCAGTTGGAAAAGGTAAATGTCACTTTTTTACAATTTAAAGCAATTGTTGTTATAATAAAACAAACTATTTTCGATCTTTCCAACCAAGGGTAATGCTTGGATCAGTGACCTCAAATTGTCTTCTGCCATTCATTATCTAACAAAGGTTCACAGAAAGAATCATGATCAGCTTTGTGCTTTTTAATTTAAACATGGTGTGTTTAAATCGAAGCCAGCTTCAGAACAAGCAGCTATTTCTCCTTTTATTGAAGCCTGAAAAAGAAGAGACTGGCTGCTTGAGGTCCTTTGCAGTTAGTTTAATGGAGGAATATAATTAATTAATGGAAGAGGCAAAAATTAGAAATTGTAACATGAAGGAAAAAGTACTTCTCTACAGAGAAAACGTGTTTTAAAATACAATCCTGAACAGTTTCAAGTTAGAGGGTAAATGTAATTTTTATTTGAATATTTTTAGTCCAATAAATTTCTAATGGAAAAAAAAAACCCTTAACTTGCATTGTGGAAATAACAGCTAATTTTCTAAATTAGTAAATATGTGAAAATAGTGTGGTTCCTTTCTTGCCATTTAATGTTACTTTTAATAAGTCCTTTATTCCTTTGCACCAGAGTCTTTAGAAGAATATATATGCACCTGAGACTATTGCATTTTTTCTTGGGATTTTAATATATTTAATCTTTTGTACAAATATCTTTATGCTCCATTCTTGAAAGACTTGTGCATCTCATTCAAATTATAGATTTCTAGTGCTATAATTTCCTCGGTTCTATAAATATGAAGAATATTTATAGAAAAACCTCTCTTTCAGATGGCACATGACATGTTTTGTATGTAAATTTATAGCTCAAACATGAAATACTGCTTTACCATTTTTAAGTCTTCTGGCATTTCATTTACTTTTGGTATATAAATATCTTTTTTAATGTTTAATTATTTTTGAGAGAGAGAGAGAGAATGTGAGCAAGGGAGGAACAGAGAGAGAGGGAGACACAGAATCTGAAGCAGGCTCCAGGCTCTGAGCTATCAGCACAGAGCATGACGTGGGGCTGGAACTCGTGAACTGCGAGATCATAAGCTGAGCAGAAATTGGATGTTTAACTGACTGAGCCACCCAGGGGCCCCTCTTTTATTTTTAATAAAAATCATTTTTAGGGCTTAAGTTTTAGACCTTGTGTCACAGTGGGATTATATTCTTTTTCATATTCAAAAGTTGTATTAATTTTTATCACTAAATATGAAGAGCAAAAATATGAAATTAAAAATAATATCATACATTAATCAATGGTAAACGTATTCTGCAAATATTCTTTGACCACTTAAACTTTTAAAACTATTTTTGTTTTTTTTTTAATATTTAATGTTTTATTTATTTCTGAGAGAGAGACAGAGAGAGACAGAGAGAGAGAGACAGCATGAGCAGGGAAGGGTCAGAGAGAGGGAGATACAGAATCTGAAACAGGCTCCAGGCTCTGAGCTGTCAGCACAGAGCCCGACGCAGGGCTCCAACCCATGAACCGTGAGATCATGACCTGAGCCAAAGTCGACACTCAACTGACTGAGCCACCCAGGTGCCCCTAAAACTATTTTTGAAAAGCAAAAATGTTTTCCTGTGTCTTTGGTAATTTATGTTGCAATTAATTATGCTTTCTGAAATAAAAATTTTGGATACAACATTTTTAGATTTTTATTTGACTACAGTATTTAACACTTTGAAATAATGTTTTTATGAATGAGTGTTTTGATAGTCTCATTTTGTTTGTGAATAAAGTAACCAATTCAAATTTTGAAAAATCCAGACAATCGTATGATTTATTTTCCCACAATATTCAGGATGGCTATATCTACTGACTTGGCTAAGTCAAATATTTGTTGCACTGGTGTGACTAACGAGTAAGCCTAAGTACACTTTTTAATGTTATGATCCTTTTTGTAGTGTCAAAAGGAGTTTTAAAGTCAAATCCAAAGAACTAATCAAAGACAAAATATATTAACTCATCAATTTCCATTTTTACTATTGGCAAATATTATTATTTGCCAATAAATGTGTTATTTGGGTAGTTAATGTTTAAAATGAGTCCAAAAATGCAGAAGAAATTTGGGTTTTCGAATTGGAACCTCAGATCTTCCAAATATATTAAAGTTATAGCTCAGTATTAAAATAAAGTAAATGAATTAATCTCTTTACACATCTGGTATTCTATTGCCCTTGTCTCTTTGTATACTAGTTATATGATTGGCCTACGTCATGTCTTTAATGCACAATTAATGTATAAACATTCTATTAAGAAAAACAGAACAAAAAACAAAAACAAAAAACAAAGAATCTAGGGATTTAAATTTGTAAAATAACCTTCTTCAATGTTATTATAAATAGCTTAGTTGAATATTCCACATATCAACCAGCTGTCTTGAATTTCTATGGACCTATATGACCTTGTCAAATGTTAGGAAAAGGAAAGTAATGTACCCGTTTTGACTGAAACAGATGAAACATTACATTGGAAAGAAACATCTATGTTGATATTACATGAGCATTATTAGTCATATTCCCCAATGCTTTCACACTCTGTCTCCATATAGCTTCCATAATGACATCCAAATTCCCTAGCTTAGCACATGAGGCACTTCAGGATCTGTCCCTGTCTACCATTGTAGTTTGATTTTTTGCTTCTCTCAAATTTGCACCTTTAGCAAGACTAAATTACTTTTAATTTTCCAAGGTCATCCAGCTTTTTCAAATCCTCTTTCAAATAACTTGAAAAATCTTGACCATTTTTCTACCTGGGAAACTCTCACTAGATATTTTAGGTTGGGCATTCAAGACCAAGTATCAGCTTGACCAGAAAGCTTTCCCGAATCAATAGGATATAATGGATTTGGGTACAAAACACAGTTATTTCCACAAGATGGTATTAGGTTTTCATTTCCTATTCCAAAAAAAAATATTACATGTACATTTTAATTTTTTTACTTAGGTGATTTCAGGTACTGTCATAATTCCAAAAACATTTCCTACTCCTTTGAGAAAGCTGGGAAGGTGTTTTACCTATTTTGAACCACATCCATCATTAAGTCTAGATACCTTTTTTTCTGTGAAGTCTCCGCATATCTCCATTCCCCTTCGCACACTATTTTACGCATTTGTAGCTTTCTCTGCGTGGATGCATCTCTCCCTATTAGACTCAGTTCCTTTGGACAAATATCTAGTGTTTTTGGTTTGCATTTTTGAGGTCCCAAAAAGTGCCTGTTGGTATAAGGTAGACAGATCTATCATCTATTTATTTATCTGTATCTTTCTATTTAAATTAATAATGAAATTGATTCTAGTGAACTATTTAAAAAAGTGTATCATAAAGAATAAAAGTGAACTATGTTTCTATATAGTTCAACAGAACTATATTTCTAAAACAAATACTTATGGGTTTATTAAAAGTGACCCATTTATTTGTTGTGATAAATTCGGTTCTTGGGCTCAATTCTTTTTTAATTTTCTTGAGAAAAATATTTTATTTAGTTATACAGTCTATTTAGCACCTTACTTAATTTATTAAAACTAACCATAAAATATTCCTGGATTTTATCATAAAATATGCATGAAGACATATAGAAATTCACAGTTTATTTACACTTACAATTGTGCCTTTAATTACATACCTTAAATTTTAAAAATAAGGTAAATATTTGTGAAATAGTTCATTTATTCAATTAATTATTTACTGAGAGCCAAATACACAATGAATTATATTTTGTACATTGAATGTAAACAATGATATATTATTCATAATTCCATAAATCTTTTCCCTTCTCTTTCTCTACTTTCTTCCTCCTTCCTTTAGGCTATAGTATTCCAGTATTTTAAAAAACCAAATGAAATTTCCTCTCTTTATCTAAATAGGCTGCCAGATACAGTATCCACACAATTCTAGTTGAATAAGAACTTTATGGAAAAAAATTATGAATAGCTATTATCTTCCCATGTCAAGTCTTACCTCCACTGAGGAAAATAAAATTAATAGTTATTATTATTACTATTTAAATCTGAAAATATAATGTCTTTTATAGCACATATTATATAAAATATTAGTGGAGCAAGTAGGTCTTGATGACTATAACTTTTTATATTTTCAAGTTGTTTGATAATCAAAAGCAGTATAAGAAAGTATCATTTTTAAATGAAGTCAGGTTAAGATTGGAAAATGGAAGAAAATGCTGAAATATATAAACCTTAAAAATTCAAAAACTGTAAATTGCATTCCTTTCAGATAACCACAAGATGGTGTATTATAATTTTCATAATACTTCATGGTTTTAATTTTGATGCAAATATTAATGCATCAAAGACACATTGCTTTTAATTTATTAAAACTTTAAATTTGAATAAATGTATTTATTTTTCTGATTTTTCCAAAGTATAACTTGACCATTTATAAAGATACTCAAAAAAGTTTTTCTTTTCTGAATATCTCTGAAAAAGTAACTAATCAACATGTGAATTTTCTGATTCTATTCTAGCTTTATCTTTTTCCTGATTTAAAAATATTACTACTTAAGTTTCATTCAGTAAGAATCCAAAGAACTATTATGCACCTGAGGCAATTATCCATGCATTTCAGGTTACATGGATATGGTTGAAAGTTCTGTTTCTCTCTAAGTCTTACTGTGTAACTGACAAAAGCTACTTAATATACAGAATTTTGTTTTGCCTGGTAGTATGTATTATAGTATATTGGTTTTGTAAGCATGAATTAGAAGTGATTGTAATAATTTTAATTTTCATTAAACTATTTTATGACATAATTAATTTATGTTTAAAATTACTCATCATTTCTCAAATATTTTAAGATGTCCTCTTTTAAAAGATGTACATAATTCTGACCTCTTTTGATTTCCAGCAAGAATCATAATATTACATATAGTTTAATTTTTTTGTCTGATTTATATACAGAAATATTTTCTTTTTTGTGCTATTGAAAATGTATTTGCCTGTAAAAATTGTTTTTATTGAACAGTCTGA